CTGACTACTTGGAAGTTTTTGCTTCTCAGTTGGGTAAGAAACCCATACTGATTGGCATTTGGACTCAGGGTCTCTACTGGTACCAATATTGTGGAAACATGATTGTGACTTGGTAAAGACTTGAACCCCAACCCCTAGGCTAAGAGGCAGACACCTTACCACAGAACTGGATTCTGTATTGATTGTTAAATGGCATTACAAGGTACTTGACGTTCAAACTGATTAGCATTTCATTTTAAAGTGATTAAATTACTGTGCAATGATAACAAAATTGGATACGTCAACTATTAATTCTTATTTGCCATGATACTGTGAAATGACAAATTGAGGGGAAAAAAATAGGATGGGTAAAAAAAAATGAAATAATATTATAACCATTTTATACTTAATGTTTAATGTATTAAATTCATAAGGGTAAAAAAGAACCACACAGTTTGTAAATGTCTGCAGTATACTTGTTGAATAGATGAATACAATTTTTGATTCTGTTGTGATGGAGCAGCCATTATATTCAAATCCCAATTTTCCTTTCTAGAGACTTTAAAAGACTGGCTTGTGCTGGGAATAAGAAACTAGAATTAAAGGACAGATTCAGTTGCACATTTCAATCTCTTTTCATGAATTATTTGTCAACTTTGTTCTAAGACATTGTTTCAGGGTATGGGGTTTCGTAAAATATTATGGTTTCTGTTTAATATCTCTCATTTTTGCCCCTTGCAATCGTAAACCTGCATGTGTCTGTTTACAGTTTTAATTGCAAATTCTCAAATTAAGTTTAATTGAAAATCAAAACGTAGGCTCTGTCGACATTTCTGGATAATTGATTCTTCTTGACAAGTTAGTTAAATTACATGTTTGTTGAGTCCCCGGAGAGACAGGATTTCTGTCAACCCCCGTTGAAGTTACACATTGTTAAATCAGTAATCTAGAAATATTATTTCCATCATCTCCCCGTGCTTCAAGACGGAGGCAGAGACGTAACTGAGATGTAATCGAAGAAAGGCTTCTTTTGTCAGGAAACATTGGTTTGCAGATGTTAAAATTCTTCTTCGAAGTCTTTTATTTCATGGTTGTTATTGATTATAGAGGAGATGATTTTACTTTACCGTTATCCTCATTAGTAATTTTATTATTGAAGGGAATAGTTTTCGCTCCACTTATAAGGGCTCATTTATGTTCGGGGAAAAAATTAGCATTAAGAAGCTCTCATTCATGAAGATTGTCCTGTCAGTGAGGAACGAAGTGTTCCATTATGGATTTTTTGTCACAGGGAATGTAAGAAATGAGGGCAATTATTTTTGAAAAGAGTTATTGTTCTTTCCTCCAGTTAATATTCATTATTGAAGGTTTGAATGCAAGTCATAAATCGAAGAACGCAAGGAACAACCGTTTAAGAGAGTAATGCCATTGTGCCTCGGAGAGATATATAATTGGCTTCTTAAGCTGAAGTAAAAAAGGTTAATACAAGATGTGAAGAATTTCATGATTTGTTTTGAGGAATCTTGACCAATGTAGACAATTGTTTGGTTTTTAATAATGCTGGCATAGACTGTTGAAAAGAATAAATTAGGTATCAGTCCAACTTCTATTTATATTTCTGTCATTTTCATTTCAGTGCTCTTTTTATTTGCTTTTAACTCCAGAAGATATATGTAGATGAATATTGACTGTGTTTTGAATATAGGTATTAAAAGACTGATAAATGAACAAAGCAAAAGGGGGTTTAAATGAACTAAAAATTTATGTTTCCATACTAGTCGACCATTCCATGATGGTGGTTTGCTCATAATCCAGCAATAAAGAGCTTTCCTGTCTGAGCCTGCAGTGTGACCAGTCTATAATATGAACTGCTTCAAAAATTTTAGCTTTTGGACATTGAATTCTTGTATTTTATCTCTGGTAAGCCCAAAATTTAGAGCAGATCTAATAATTATTACAAATATAAATAGTGTGGTAAATGTTTAATATATTCGAAGATACGCTACCTTCCATGTTACCCACCTGACCCGATTTATGGCCTGTACGTGTTACAGTATCAATACCTTGTAATCGGCACTTCACTACGTAATTGAACACAAAAGGTTTAAGGAACATATAACAAAAAGGTGTTTATATGATCGAGATAAAACATTGATTATTTTGCATGAAAGGATGTTTGAGTCGATTATTTAAGCTAAACTTTATATGGCGTATCAAAAATGGTATTCGGGGCTCAAAGAGAGAGTAGCCAATGCACCAAGATTGCCGGCTGATAAATTTCGAATGACTTGCGATTTCAATGAGTTTCGAGAGTAACGTAATATTTGCGGTTTTATGTCCATATTAGTAAGGTTATTGAAACGGAAACATTATTTAAAGTTTTCAATAGCAGATGAAAACGATCTGTTGTGAAATCTTACAATTGTGTTGTTGCACATTTGTGTGCGTGTTCCTTTTTGTTCTGTCTGAAGAGATGCAGTATTTCCCTTTTGAAAGAAATGCATAAAACCTCCTGGAAAATCTTGATTAGTTACTATAAACAAAAAGCATAGAAAAGCTGTGCTTGATTTATTATAAATGTTGTTTTTGTTACAATGATTGTTCATTGTTTTGCTGGGGAGTGCTTGATTGGCTGAGGTGAATAAATTCTTGATGGGAACCAGATCAAATGGTGCTAGAAATGAAAACAGGGAAAATAAATTGTCAGATTTTATTTCTCTGTTCCTTGAAGTCACACTATATTTTAGCTGTAAGGTTTTAAAAACAAATATACTTGTGTTTATTTCATTGATATAGTTCATGATAGAAGGAGAAAAGTTCATACATTACAGTGTACAACACTGTGGAAATCTTGCTAAGAAAATTTAGTTTTTGCTATTTTATCCTTTTTTTGGTTTTCTTTGTTTCAGTTGTGGAGATAAGCTGATTACTTTGCTATGGTAGTATTTATAATATATGAATAATTAAGCAACTATGAAGTATATTTAAAGTATGGTAAATATGTTAATGTAAATAAGCCTACAATTGCCCTCCCAGAACTAAATGTAAGTTCAGTACTGTAACTAAGTATTTGAGAAATGCATCTGAAATGTACATATTTCTCTTTTTTTCACTGCAATTGAACAATTTTTTAATTTACATATTTGAATTTATGACTGAAATTACACTAAAAAAAGCTACCTTGATAGTCATTAATTTAAGTAATTTTAGATCAACAGATAGATTAATAGTTTCAATTAGACAAGTTATTTTGTTGTTTTTTAACGAAATCCACAAAGCTTGTTTGATATACAAGTGACTCAGTATGTTGTTTTAAGTGTATTTAGATTAAAGAACAAGCTTTTCAGTTGTTTACATTGCTATGAGTTTGTTTTTGCATTTGAATTATTTGAAAATGTTATAAATCAAAGTCCAATTGGTTGAGTCATCATGAAGATTTGATAGACGAGGGGCAATTTCTTTGTTTTCATACAAATAACGTAGAACTTCTTATGTTCGTGCATCGGGACTGAAATAATGCATTATATACGCTGATTTGTAAAGTGATTTAAACAGAATAAAGAAATCATTAATCTGCGAATTGCTATGCCACTGTTAAATTTTGAATGCATTTTGGTTTAAGTATGTGTAAAAACGAGGTAGGTTTGATTAAGCGACGGGATGTAATGGCCTCGAAGATAAATATTTAATCGCAAACTGTAATGTTGATACACAACAAATAGTGTAATTGTAAGCATGAAAATTAATGCCGATGAGTAAACAGGCTTTTGTGTAAATTTGTAATAAGGTTTTGTGTAACGCGGCGACACATAGATTGATTATTCCGAATAGAACATAGATAGGATAAAATATTACGATTGTTTTGTCATAGTCAACTTTAAACCATAGACCTGTGGGAAATTGCAGACTAAAAGGCATTGTGAAGTTGGGTTTTGAAAAAGCTTTTGAAATGGTAGAAATATATTAAAAAAGTCCTGAATGACTAATGCAAAGGAGATAAGGGGGAGAAACTAGACAAACTGAAACATTAGTATTAATGAGTGGGTTATGTTGAAACTGAGATATATGTAATAGAAAGAGCATCGAAACATGAGGCTAACTGATTTGTACGAGGGGGTGTAGCCCCCGAGTATAAATCAGATTGCCGAGTGTTTTGATGTTCTTTCTCTTTTGTATCATAGTCAAACATAAAAACACGTTCCCTGATACCACAATATGAAACCCCACAAAAAAGTAACCAATGCACGAGCATCTGAATATGATATTTCCATCGATATCCCTTTCTCTGTCGTCACAATATGTAAACCCCGGACAAAATGAACCAATCAATGGGCATGCTCTTGAGTGTGGGTAACTAATACCTGCTCTACAGTTAATGCACTGTGCATGTATATGTATACGATTTAACTCTGTCACATTTTCAACAGAAATGTCCCCAAACTATGATACAAAGATTGGTAAATGAATACGTTTGAATTTCTAATCAAAATTTGATCCAAGAAATGTACAATTCAATTGTATAAAATTAAACTATTTAAGAAGCTACGCAATAAAGACTGTTACGAGTACATTTACTTACACTCGCAATATGTGTTTTTAGTAGAGGAACATCTGCACCTAAATTGTGTTCTTCTGATGTATTTACTTACTTACCTTAGGGGCACACTGCTTCTTTATTTAAGGTGTTTTGAAATACGTTATTAAATGTATTTACTTTTACACTGGAAGTTACAAACAAACAAGCTTAAGTGTTATTTCGTTTGACTTGAAGCGGTCTCGATTTTTTTCTTGCTTTAGAAAACAGTGAATGTTCTTGTAGTAAAAATTGGTGAATACTGGAAGCAGTCATGTTTTATGTATATTTTAGAAAAAGGCTATACTTAGAAATGGAAAAGCAAACATTAGAATAAAGGTCATAAATACAAAACCTGCATGGATTTACCAGGTCACTGACTGTCCAAATACTAAAAAATTGTTTATGTAAATGAAATATATTTCAAATTACTTTTATTGTTTTACAGGTACGAGAAATGTTGCAAGCAAAAGATTCCAATGGTGCTAGAATGTTACGTCTCATCACGGAACAGTTTCTGGCAGATCCTCGACTTGTTGTTTGGAGAACGCAGGGGACTCAGATGAATGACAAGTGCAGACAACTCTGGGATGAACTTGGTAAAAGATTTGACTGTTCGCTGTAAAGCTAGCAAAGATAATATTTTCGAATTTTAAATAATTCTGCACTAAGCTAGACACAGAAATATTTGCATTTTTTGTTCAAGCAAGTGCACTGTATGGCCCTTGTTACAAAGAGGTCTAGTGAATGTAGGTAGTTCAATGATTTTAAAAGTAAGGTTGAAAGTTAATAAAGTTTTTGCAGTCTTACACTGTAATAGTTGTTTCTTACATCTTTAAAAAAAAAAAAAATAAAACATCAAGGTGATAAAATTCCTTGTCATTTACATGTTAACACATAACAATTTTAAATTTTGATTTGGCGTTTGCAATGTGGGCATGATTCGTATACTGTTACAGTTTTAACACCTGGTACCGCATCACTAAATGCAAAGAAAAATTCCAGTCGTATATAAAATTAAAATTGTTCTATTTAAGGTGCACTATGGGTCTGTGTGGTTTTAAACCCCAATTCCAGTTGTGCCGAGAAGGAGCAGTGGCAACAGCTGCTGGAACAATGGTCTTCCAATCAAGTCTGTCCTCTAGAAGATGCAGATAGCCGAAATATGATCACACATATAGGTGCAAATAATTTAGGTAATGTTGTTTTTTTCTCCTGCCGTCTTTGTAATTTTTCCTTTCTCTTATTTTTGTATTTATATGTCATACCAACACTGTGAAAGCCGCATGGGAACTTTCTTAACTTTACTGGTGGAGAGTGACTTCTGTTGCCTGTTTGTGCCCCCGTATAAATTGCCTGTTTGTGCCCCCATATAAATTGTCTGTTTGTGCCCCCATATAAATTGTCTGTTTTGCGCCCCCATTTAAATGGCCTTTTTGTGCCCCCATATAAATTGCCTGTTTTGCACCCCCATTTTAATTGCCTGTTAGTGCCCTCATAAAAATTGCCTATTTGTGACGTATGACAATGCATGTAGGGGCACCTGTAGTCTTGCCCCATCAGTAGTGCTGATAAAAAAAGATGACCAGTTTTTGTTAGCTAGCCTCCTTACTAAGAGAGTGTCCCTTACCAAAATTGGAACCTACATAAATACAGGGCAAGTGATCTCAATACTAATAAACTAAGTTAACCCTCTTTTGTTATGTCTAGAAATATAGCATCTTTAAGTTATCTAAAATGAGGTGGGCATAATCTAGTGCATATTAAATATTTTCAATGTAATGTATGATAAAATTTCAGGTCGATATTACAAATAAAATTTTTGTGTATGTGTGTCACTTGGAAGTTGTTTACTGATAGATGAATAACACACATTTCTTATTGTGTAATGCTAGATAAAAAGCACATGTTTTATTGTGTGATACAGTCTTAGCTTGGCATAAAGTAAATACATTAGGTGAGAAGTAAATATATTAGGTGATAAGTAAATACATCAAGGTGGTCATGTATATATTGTATAACATTGCCTCTTTAATAGATATTACATGTATTCAGTTGAAAAACAAGGTACATTACAAACAGGGTTCAATGCTTGATCGAAAAACTAAGGACTCGTAACAAATTGTTTTTAGAGAAATTCAGATTATTTATTTATGTAACTTTTCATTAATTTCTTGACTTTACATTGAATTATGAATATTTTTGATTTTTCTACACAGGTGCTGCATTAAATCCTCAGCCAGTCCGAGCACGAACAATATTTCAAAGAGCCCTAGAAGCAAGCAAGCTTACGTGGCGTGACAAACACCTACAGCTGATTTTACGGCATGACCTTGACATTGATGAAGCTGACAAGGACACAGATATGTTTGACTGTAGAGGCATTCCATTATGGCATGGTCAGTATTTATATATGAGCCACGTCAGGACAAAACCAGCATAGTGCGTTTGCGACCAGCATGGATCCAGACCAGCCTGAGCACCCGCGCAGTCTGATCAGGATCCATGCTGTTCGCTAACAGTTTCTGTACTTGTAATAGGTTGGTAAGCGAACAGCATGGATCCTAATCAGATCCTAATCGGATGCGCAGGCTGGTCTGGGCAAACCCACTATGTTGGTTTTGTTGTGATGCGGCTCATATATATGTATTCTTTTGGATAATGTGTTAGAGGTTATATAAGCGAACAATTCAAGGCAAATTGGTTCTACCGTTATAACGTTTAACTTCTTTGACTGAAGCCTTAACAATCAGTATAGAGCTAGGCCAACTTGAAAGTCCTTGCAGTCTGACTAGGTGCTATTTTATTGGTCGACTAACTTAAAAAAATTTCATTTTATTTTTTATCCCAAAGTTAATAATGACCAAACAAATAAAGATTATGCATCAATTTATTTTTAGGAAGTTCCAGCCGGCCAGCAATTCAGTTTGCATGAATTATAAGACATCAAATTTGTAATAGGTTTATTATCAATGTTACCATGCTATGAGAAAGGATAGTTTTCATTATCAGTTTCTTGTTATATTCACGTTTAAAAAAATGTGAGTTCCTACACTCAGTACTATAAGAGAGTTACTTCTGAGGTAAAATGTCAATGCTTTATATACTGTTTGCCCCTGAAACATCGCAATCTAAAGTAATGGAAAACTTTTAACCTTTTCTCAGTGAATTTTATGCCCTAAACCTGATCAATTGTTTGTTTGATATGATTTGATGTCTAGTTCAGCTGTTGCCCATACAGATTGCAAGGAAAAGCATTTTGTAATACTGCAGATTTGTAACATAAATTTTCATTGAATAATCATGATGTTTATGTAGTCTGTATACGCAGTTACTATCAATTTTTGAAGTAATTTTCTTGAAATAAAGCTATTCTGCTTACTATTATTATTTTACTATGAATATGTTATAAAGCAGTTTGTAATACTGCACATTTGTAATGTCACTTTTCATTGGATAATTGTGACGTTTATATAGTTTATATATATTGCTGCTGTCAATTTATGAAGAAATCTCTTTTTTTCCTTCTAAAAAAGGAAGTTTGTTGTATTATAAATTAGTGACAGGTTATATAGCCATATTTAAAAGGTTGTTTACAATATAACCCTCACCTATGCCAACAGCTCTTTATATAGGGCCATATAACCTGTTCAAAATCTTTATAACTAATAGTATTAATGGTTGTTCTCAATATTACATAGGTTGTGTAAGCTTACAACTATTTATACTTAGCCATATAGCCCATCAGATATCTTTATGACTAAAAATATAGGAGAAAAGATGGTTGGTTGAGGCAATATACTTTAATTCAGTGTAATCATTTAAGTTTTGTTAACACATGATAGTAATCTTGTGTTATTTTTATGTTACAGAGCATTTACCAACAGCTTGTGCTCGAGTTGATGCATTGCGTTCCCATGGTTACAGTAATGAAGGTCTACGATTGGCTGTTGTGATCGTGCAAACGTTAAAACATCAGCAGCTGATCAACCACAAGAAACATCAAATAGAGTTGGAAGGTAAGATACAAGTTTGATTGATATTTTGTTAATAACATGATATCTTGTTAATAACATGACGGAAAAGTTCTTGTCGTGAGGATATCCTTTGCCAAACGGTTAAGCTCACTGAAACACTGAATCCATTCCTGGAACCAACCTGTAATAAGCACTGAGTGTTAAGTTTCTGGCTCATGGAAACAACAGTGTTTAAACTTAAGCAGCCAGGAATCCTTTTAGTACTAGTCTGACGTGTTAACCACTCGGCCATGCTGCCACTCTGCCGAGCGGTTAATGTTTTTTACCTAATTTTAATTTCCCTCCCTTTTGTTGGCTTAGGTCCTTTAAATGAGCCGCGTCACGACAAAACCAACATAATTGGTTTGCGACCAGCATGGATCCAGACCAGCGTGCGCATTTGCGCAGTCTGATCAGGATCCATCCTGTTCGCTTACAAACGCTATAACAAGTAGAGAAACTGAAAGCGAACAGCATGGATCCTGATCAGAATGCGCGGATGCGCAGGCTGGTCTGGATCCATGCTGGTTGCAACGCATTATGTTGGTTTTGTCATGACGCGGCTCAAATATTCTTTCATATGATGAAGCTGTTCAGCTTTCTTGGAAGGTTGGTGGTTATTCTCTGATGCCTACTCACATCTGAAATAATGCAAAGATAGTCATTAAAAGTATTGTTTTCTCCAGTAAAGCTGGACAAATTTGACCTAAAGTGGCAATCTTAAAATACAAGTTGAAAGAATACCTTGTAACTTTAAAAAAAGATTTGAAAATTAGAAGAAAATGTACATGTAGGGTTTAAAGTACTTCATATGAAAATGTCATGTCAAAAGCAATGCATGTTATTAAAAATATTAAAAAAAATGTATAAAAATTCGATGGAGAAATGGCAATAAAAATTTGTCAGACATAGATCTTTTATTTTGTTTGCCTTTCATTCACCTTGTTAATTTATACATGTACTGGAATACTAATAAACACCTATGTAACTTCATATTTTCTATATTTAGAGTGAACTTTGCAAGTGTTTCATAAAGAAGAAAGAAATTTCAGTGGTTTTTTTTTTTCAAAAATGAGTTGAAAAATAGAATGAGATAGAAATATATTTCCTAAATTTGGAAAAAAAATAAATAAATCTTCCTTGTCAGGAAGAACAACAACAAAAAGTTTGCAGTATAAATAAAAATATTTCACTTTTTATCTTTTTAGGTATGCCAAGCACTAGTCGAGGGTCTGGGACTTCATTTTTAGTTCAGACCAACATGGAAGCTTGGGTTGGACACCCACTAGATCCAGTCAGTGTATTGTTTGACACTCTACTGGAGGCCTCAAAAGCACAAGAGGAATGCCCTCAAAATCTAGGTATGTCAACTGTTCAGGGTCACATGACTTATTTTCTTAACCTTTAACCTGATGGGACGAAAAGTGATTTGCTTTCACCATCTTTATAATAGCCAGGCCTCGCCATCTGATCAGCCTGTATACTGCTGCTTGCTCATTATTTTGTATTTTGAATTTGAATTCCCTTAATAATTAAATGGATTGTTCCAAATTTCATTGACTGTTCCAAATTAAAAGTATTTTAAAGTCAAAAGTTAGTTGTGAAAAAGAGCAAGTAACACAAAAACAGTTTTATCTCTTACCATGCTAAAATTTCAAATGGTCTTGTCCATCATTCAATATTGATGGGAAGATGATGGACAAGTCCATTTAAGATATTATGAAATATTAACAAATAATGGAAAGGAATTGACCCACCTAACAAATAATTAAAGGGAAGTGACCCACCTAAAATAATACTAATAATGCATATTGAAGGGAAGTAACCTAACTTAAGGTTATAAATAGTTGAACAAAGAAACCCACATTACGGAAGGGAAGTGTGTCTTTTTGTGTTATTTCTGGCATACGTACACATTTATGAATTCATTATTCACCATTCTGACTAGACTATTTACTATTAGCTGAATAATTTTAGTACTTTGATATAGAAATCCTTTCAATTACTATAAAGAGAGTTCCAAGGTCAAAGTACATTTCACAGTGCAAGACATTAACGAATTCAACACAAAGTCCAGGACATTGCACAAATTCAACACTAAGGGTAGGACATTTTACAAAATCAATTCAAAGTGCAGGACATTTCACTAATTCAGTTCAAAGCACTAGACATTTCACAAATTCAATTCAGTGGAGTCTAGGTCATAAAACCTTGCACAGCACTTACTGGAATGTAACATCCAATATTTGTTTATTTTATTTACAGATCCCCTAAGCAGTAGGTTATTCTTCAATGAGAATGGATCCAGCTGCCTTCCAGTTCGATATGTTCACAAAATAATCCCTGGTCACTGTGACAACAGCGAGTCCTACCTTACGCTGGCGTTAGAGGTAGCATTGATAGGTATGTGGTATTTATGACTTTACAAAATATCTAGGTTAGCAGGTAGCACTCCATTGGCGACTTTTCATGTGTTGGGAAAACCTGGACATCATCAATGATACAGCTCCTGCGGGGGACTTGTTAACTTTTTCTGAAAGTTTCGGCCTTTTAATATTAAATGAAAACGTGCAATTTTTTTTAAATTGATTGTCTTTAAAAAGTATTTATTGGAGGAACTATTTTCTTTTCTTATTTGCTTTGCTGACAAACATGTTCCTTCATACAACACCAGTACTGGTTAGTTCCAACAAGACTTAAGATTTGATTAGATAATCATGGTTGAAGAGTGAAATAATTTTGTTTCCAAGGCCTAGCATGCCTTTAAATAGCTTATTTATATTAATAAATAAATGATAGGTTGTTTTATAACTTTTCTATGTTTGAACGTTGTAGGTTTGGACCAGCAGAGAAATATGCCAACAGGGTTGTACGCCCAGGAGAAAACTTGTAAACAGGAGGAGAAGTTACTGGCCAAATTGCAAGCTCTTGAACTAGATGCAACTTTAGTGAAAGTTTTGTGTAAACAGTGTGTTCAAATGCTTGATGGTAAGAGATTTACATACGTTTTTTAAAGTAAGAAACATCGGATAATACATATAGCGCTGTAACACAAGTTGCCTCCCTGTTTTTATTAGATAGAGCAATATGGTGATGTTTAAACTCATAAAATTTCGCTATATTTTCTTTATATTTTGTTTGGATGTATTTTATGAAGTAAGACTCAAAACTGCTCAAAAGTCAGTCATTGCTATAAAAAAATCAAGTGAGACGGGTGTTTGCTTACAAACCTTGTGATATATATTACTTCAGGCTTTCCGATCATCTTCCACCTTCCCCCATTAAACATCAAAACATTAAAACATCAGTGATTTTTTTTTGCAATTTTCAAAACAGCCTGTAGCTTTCTGAAGCAGGATAATTAAGAAAAAGAGGAAAATCTGAAATCCAACACCTGAGAGTGGAATTTACCCACACATTTTATAAAATTTCAATGTCAATTAAATTTACCATGCATGATACATAGTAGAGGCAGGCTATCTATATAGGGACAGCTTTTTGTCTTTCAGTAAAGATATGCTAGCTAATATAAGTCAACTGTGCTGTTAAGTCATGGTTCTAGAAAGATTGTGCATAGGGAATTTTAGGGGAAAATATAGATATTTAGGGGGAAATGATATCTATTTTGGGCTAGGGGAAGTTATTCAGCTGTAAAAGATAATGGGAATAAAGTCACTTAATGGTATATTAAAGACTGTATCACATACTAGTATTGTATTTTATATGGTTTTTTGTTCCGATTGAAAGATGCATAGCATTGTTTTAAAAGTACTGAAAACTATATGGTAGTTCTGAAGTCGAAAGGTTATTTATTGTTTACCTCAGTTTGTGGAGAGTGTTAATGGAAGGAAAGTCTCGGTGTAAATTCAATAAGCATATTACATCATAAATGCGTCAGTTTGTTATTGGTGATAATTTTCACTAAGTGTTGACTTCTTTTGAATGTTTTGAACATGACAGATATCCTTTATCAAAATAAAGTCTTCTAGTTTTAGAATAGTGTTTAGAAGTCAAAACATGTTCGGTATAGAGAACAGTCTTCAAGCAAAATATTCTAGCATACTAGATCTTCAAATTGGGATTTGATATTTACTTTTAAAGGCCCATAATGTATTTTAAATTTTTATTTCTCTAAAACAATTTTTGGTTTTTCGTTACAGTTTCCAAGAACTTATTCATTTGCTATATACATGAACTATCTGTTCCTTCTGTAGCTCTGTTGGCAATTTGTATCATTATAGTGAATTAGTATTTTGTATGAAAGTCAAAATACTGCTTTGTTTACATTTTGCTACCTTTACAACATATAACTACATGTTCAGTGCTTCTATTTTCAATTGTAATACATGTACATCTAGCATGCTCTTAAACCTTTATTTAACCATGTTTGACATTCCTAAAGAATATAAAATATGGATTTTTGAGGCATAATGTGCCTTTAAAAGAATCAAACATTGGCTTGTTTTTGAGCTATCATGTCACTCCATATAAGAGTCCTTACCAATCCTGTTATTCTTGTGTTGGTTGTGATCGAATTTTTTGCAAGCCCATTTGTATGTTAATCAATGCGTCAGTTTGTTATTGGTGATAATTTTCACTAAGTGTTGACTTCTTTTGAATGTTTTGTACATGACAGATATCCTTTATCAAAATAAAATCCTAATTTTAGAATAGTGTTTAGAAGTCAAACATGTTCGGTATAGAGAACAGTCTTCAAGAAAAACATTCTAGCAAAAGGTTGATTTGAGATTTACTTTTAAAGGCCCATAATGTATTTTAGATTTTCGTTACAGTTTCCAAGAACTTACTCATTTGCTATATACATGAATTATCTTTTGCTTCTGTAGCTCTGTTGGCAATTGGTATCATTGAAGTGAATTAGTATTTTGTATGAAAGTCAAAATACTGCTTTGCTACCTTTGCAACATATAACTACATGTTCAGTGCTACTATTTTCATTTGTAATACATGTACATCTAACATGCTCTTAAACCTTTATTTAACCATGTTTGACATAATATAAAATATAGATTTTTGAGGCATAATGTGCCTTTAAAAAAAGAGAATGACATTGACTTGTTTTTGAGCTATTATGTCACTCCATATAAGAGTCCTTACCAATCCTGACATCCTGTGTTTGTTGTGTAAGAATTTTTTTTTCACGTTTTTTTGTGCTATTTTTAGCACTAAGCGTATGGCGGACCAGAAACAAATATATTTTTGTGCCTTGGAAACAATGTTTGTCACAAATGATAGTTATATTTTAGGTGCCAGCCTTACTTTTGTTAGCAGTTACATGTATATTTTAGGTGCCAGTCTTATTACTTTTGTTAGCTTGTAATGCTTATACAGTGTAACTTATGAATTCCGGAACTTCTAAAATCTGGAAACTTCTGAAATTTGAACATTTTTCAGGATCCCGAAATTTCTCCTGCTTTCTATATAATTAAGACCTCTGAATTACAGAACTTCTAAATTCTGAATTCTGAACAATTTTCTGGTAAATTTTTTATTACATCAATTCAAATTTACTTCCAAAATCCGGAAATGAAAAGGTGTGAAGGAAGGAATATGATACTGGTCAGTATCTTCCAATTAGCAATTAAAATTGAAGGTGTGGGGTTTTGTCCACTCTATAAAATTCAGGTGTGAGGTTTTGTCAACTCTATAAAATTTTGAGGTGTTGGGTTTTGACATGTGGGGTTTTGTCCTACATTCATTATAACCATTTATCTTTACACCTATTAGAATCATAATCTGTCCAGCATGTCAAACACTTGATTATAGTGAAGTTTGAAAATAAAAAGACTGAGAAGTATAATGAGATGAAAACAAAGATTAAAGATTAATAGCTGTTACTACGTGAAATATACTAAAGGTTAAATTGTGAAAATTAACATTATGCTATTGTATCAACAAATTCAGTTATAGATTACAAAGATATTTAATATAAGTATAAACTTGTCCTATAAAAGTCCTATAACTTTGCCATTTTATGAATTTAATCAGCTTCATATATTTTTCATCATGTCTTCTTAAATATTTGTTTATTGTTTCTACTTGTTCATATAATTCTGAACTTCTGAATTTCGGAAACTTTCAAATTTTGTACTTTTTGGCGAGTCCCAAAGTGTTTGGTTTTCAGAAGTTACACTGTATTGTTGTAGATTGTTAGATCCAGATATATTTTAAGATCATGAATGGCCTTCATTATTTATGAAAACAACTAAATGATGTGCTTCTATTTCAGGTGGTCCTACTTGTGGGTTAGGTATGGGAATTCACACTGAGAGTTATCCCATGCACACTTTTGCAAAATATCTGTTCAACAGTTTACTTACACATAATGAGGATTTGGCATACAGGATCGGTCTGAGGGCATTAAGGTTTGTATTATTTGTAATTTCCCATAATTACTTTGCCTATTATCAGCGACATTATTTTCTTCCGGCTTTTATTGTTTTCTGAATATATTTTGTTATACTTACGTCAAAATTTGAATTAAGTAGCATTTTTAAAACACGAAACTTAAAAAACGACAAAAATTGCATGCGTTAGGGCCTTTGATATTTTAATTAAATTGTAGACATAAAATAGACCAATGCTGTAATTAAAATGATATATTTACTTATAGATTACCAGTATTAGAGAACACGGAGGAGTTGGACGATGGTCTCAATAATGTAGGATCGGTGGTGTTGTCAAGGTTTCCGCGGTGGTTTATTCTAGGGCACGTTGAGGGACAGCAGTGTGAACTGGCCTGTACTCTTCTCAATGCAGCCAAAGGTAAAGTTTATGTTGTAAATAAAATTTAGAAGAAAATTTTCGCATTGAATTTAAAATTATGCCTCCTTCTTTTTTTTTCATTTTATTGAGGTAAAGGTCTTTTTAGACACTGCATAGTTTGTTAACAAGAAAATTATTAATTTTGCTGTATATTTCAGGGTCACCCGCAAGATTGCAAACAGTATTAGAGGCGGCTCAGCGGCATATTCATAGCTCCTCCCAACTATTCAAACTAGCACAAGATGCATTTAAAATAGCCACGCCCCCTGACAGTCCCAAACATTTACCTGCGTTGAAATCTGCTTACGAGCTCGGGTTGCAGGTCATGAGAATGACTCTGATGACGATGAATTGGCGTCGACGGGAGATGGTACGCTGGTTGGTGACGTGCGCTACTGAGGTTGGAATTCAGGCATTGATGTCAATTATGCAAAATTGGTATACTCTATTTCAGCCCATAGAAGCAACTGGTAGGTGTAATTTTTTATCATCTTATATGTAAGATATATATAGAAGTGGAAAAAACATTGCTTTAAACTTCTTCTTTCCATTCAGTTTTTTTTAAACATTTTTAGCATATTGAGGTAAATGTTAAATGTTTCGAAAAGGTGTTTACTTGTTTGCTTAGTGATTAAGATATGTAACTGTCAAGTTCTCAACACAGATCAAACATCCAGGTCTCCCTAGAATCACAATCATGTTTCCTCGTACGGCATTCATACTGGTTAGTTCAAGAAGACAGGCTCATGATTTGTTCAAATAATTTGCATGTCATGCTAAAATGATTATTTTTAAGATTTTCACTTTTTGTTTAATTTGTATAAAAATATTTTGTTTTATTTCCAGGAATGGTCGCTACAACAATTATGACCCCTTCAACAATGATTCAACTTAATCTGACTCAGAATTTCTCCCAACAAGAAGAACTTGCCAAGTGTGCTAGGGCTCTTGCTCTTCAGTGTGCTACCAAAGACCCCCAGAATTGTGCACTATGTGCTCTTACTTTGTGTGAAAAAGACGCAATTGCATTTGAAACAGCATACCAAATAGTTGTAGATGCGGCTTCACATATTATGAATTCAAGTCATTTATTTACAATTGCAAGATATATGGAGCATCGAGGCTACCCGAATCGGGCGTACAAATTGTCCCTTCTCGCAATGAAAAACTTGCATTTAGCTTATAATCAAGACACACACCCAGCCATCAATGATATACACTGGGCATGTGCTCTTAGTCATTCATTAGGACGGGTCGAACTTAGCAATATGATCCCACTCCTTGTTAAAAACGTGCAATGTGCCACAGTGTTATCAGACATTCTGCGTAGATGCACCCTCTCAGCGCCAGGTTTAGCAAATACGGACGGAAAGAGACGTGCTGTGAAGCTGTTATCGTACGATAAACAGCCATTAAGACAACTTATGGAAGCAACAATCTGTGCGTATATCAACACAACTCATTCAAAACTCACACATATAAGTCCACGTCACTACGGTGATTTTATAGACTTTCTCAGTAAAGCGCGTGAAACATTCCTACTTGCCCATGACGGCCATATGCAATTCACACAGTTAATCGAAAGCATGAAGCTTGTGTATAAAGGAAAGAAAAAGTTAATGTCTTTGATCAAAGAAAGATTCGGATTGTGATGACAGTATACTTAGGTTGTTAGGCTTTAATTTTGAGAAGAAAAGAATGGGGCGTAGCTCTGTCAAGACTCTCATGAAAATACAAAACAAACAGTTTATACATGTTCTAAACTATGTTTGCTGACGAAGGTTTAACTTATTTGTCAGGTAACTGTTCACGGGTTTATGGTGGCAAAGTAAAACACCTTATGTTTTGATGTTTAGCTGTTGTACTACATAAAGGGGAGATATTCTCTTATGCCAAGATTAACAATTAGGGAGTTACCTGCCTTGATTCACAATGTTGTGGCTTTTTTTTTCTCATGTCACTGATTATTGAAATCATGAAAAAAAACTATATCTTAAATTATGTGATTATTTTTTTTTTTCCGATTTTTTTATTATTAAATTTCTTAAAGAAGATCCGTCTCTTACCTGGCTTACATTAAAGCTTCAAGAACTAGGTCATTTTATTATTTTGTTTTGGGTTATTGTATTAGAGATACTAAATGACTAAAAGTAAACAAATACATAATAAATCTTTATTATTAGTATTTATTTCCATACAGTTGAATACAATTAAGAATGAACTGAAGTTGGAAAATTATTTATTTGGGACCATAATAAATTTATATGTAATGTTTAACTTGCATCACTTTACAGCTATTGTTACAATTACAGTGAAACCTGTGTGCAAACACCACTGTGTATATCATATAGAGGACTGTGCAAGAACTAGGTCTTTTCTTATTGGTTAAAATGCATTGCAAAAAATGAAAAATGGAACAGTATGACTTACCTAAGGGATTATATTAGCTTGCTAATTGCCTTCAGATTTGCATAAATTAAAAAAATGAGTAATAAAAAAGGTCATTATTCAACAATTCAAAGCAAAAAATTAGATGTATACATATTAAACATGTAAAGTTTCAATTTTGTTTTGATCACTTTATCGAAAAAATATTTATTTTTATTGTAAATTTTGTTAATGGATCTTTAAATGTGCACATGGTAGACAAATGGTCTGTTATGAAAGGGTTCATCTTTATTACAGATGGTATTTCAGCACAGGTGACACTGTATTGTACTTTTTTTTCCTATAATAAAAGGTCTGTCTATATAGAATTTGGATTAAAACATATGATAGAAAATCTTTTTTCAATGTATTATGATCATTGATGATAATTTGACTCAACGAGCTTAGAACAGAAACAATTTTGTGTAGAGAAAAGGTATGAATTACGATAAATTGATGCATTCAAGTGCTGTGTTTCCTCTCAATGCATCAGTACGGATTTGTTGTTGAATTGGCAGCAAACTTTTCCTTGAGCTGCTGACTATATTGATTGTTAATGTATACCTCCTGCATTTAAAACAAATAAAAAAACAACTATTGTGCTCTTTTTTTAAAACGATTGTAATGTGTTTTTTTCTTTTTTCTCAAAGATTCAATGCAAATTCTTGAGAGTTTCAAACAAAAACTTGTTGTATATAAACAAAGGTGCTTTAATGTTAATACATATATATTTTATTGTAACAGTAACATGTGTTTTTTTTTAATTTGGTGCCATGTATGGCCTATTTATTATTATTACGTATACGTGAAGTATCCGTTTATTATTGTATGATATATTATTTGAAATCGTTTTCTTTTGTTAGTTCAACTATATTATTGTAAATCGACTAGTGTTGTTGAATATTTTGAAACAAAATTTGAGAAAGTGTTAAAGTATTTATATTTGACGTATTATATAAGTTTTAGTCACACATTTTTTTTTGCCAGAGAAAGTTTTATATTATTAATATTGTAATGATAATAATTAACATTGACAATATTTTATTTAGTTGATTCAAGTTGAACAGATCTTTGTTTCCATAGAGATATTATTTTGTCCAATGTTAAGCAGGGAATGAATGTTTCAGAGTTTGAATGATTGAGCAACTGAACAGTTATTTTATATTGTTTGTATTCTAAACACTTAAGAAGACAGTTAAGTTAATGGGTAAAGTACTATGATTCTTTCTGTTTATCTATTTTTCCATAAGACTTGTGGTTATTTGTAGTAAGAATGGGGCATTAGGTGGGTAATAAGCTATATTAAGCAGACGAAATGCCTCGTGAAGAAAAAACTAAATGTTGAACACTGTCACTTTAATGAATACTTTTTCTTTACTGAACTTGAACAAGATATTTAATTTGAATGATTTTCTGGAAAAAGATATTCCAAGACACCTCTCCGGCCCAAGCGTGTTATAATAATTTTTGGTGATAAGAGATGGACTTGACAGTGTTTAGCACATTTTAACCCTTTACAACGCTATGTAATATATTAAATGGACTTGTCTATCTTACAATTTGGACAATACCATTTATCAATATAAGGGGAATTTTTTTTGAATACATGTACTGACTGAATAGCAAACAGAGCAGACCATGATCAGACTTCATGTATATGCAGGCTTTTTTTGATTCGCACTTGGTCCTAGCTTGACTTATGGGTAGATTCTGTTGCGTCCAGCCGGCTATGGGTTATAGATTATTTTATTATTATGTTGAGGTATAAGTGTTAGTCAGAAGTGATATATATATGATATTTTCACTAAAGATCTGTCCAGTGTTACTTGCATATATACATAAGTTTACAAATCCCAATATTTTTTTTTATTTGCTGAGAAACGGGACTTCTTTCATTTTGTACAGTTATGTGCCAAACTTTTAGCGATTGTTGATGAAGCAGTTATTTCAGTATGTACTGGTATAGTTTTATAAAGGTTTTTTTTTATGAATTTGGATAGAAGGTTTTTAAGAAGTGTGGCAGAAGTTATTTGCCGGCACATTTGTGCGTTGTTTATGAACTTATAAAGATTTATCTAAATAACAGGATACAGGAAATTTATAGAAAGGTCATCATTGCTACCTTTGCATCAAATATCAAGAATGGTGTAAATATTTTATATTTACAGTTTCGTGACTGGCATGGCAAATAGAATGTTTTCTTGCTGCTGAAAAATTCTTGATACTCAGTCTGATGAACTGTTGACTTAAGTGTTGATGAATCATCATAGATGTGTTATTTGCAAAGAAGACAGTAATAATTTTAAGAAAGTTATGCAAGACCACAGCAGCCTTCATCCAAATTTAGCTGAAATGCATTATGTTTAAACCAAAATTAAGAACATTTCTGAGAACTATATTCCATTTTTAACCTTTAAAAGTCATGCATAACTGGCATAAAATTGAAATGTCAAACAAAAAGAAAACCATGTATAATAAATATGTATATTTTTTTGTTTCCCGTGCCGGTAGTAATTAGAGAATTACCATACATTTGGCACATAACTGTACAATGTACAAGAAATAAGCAAAGTTTTTGGTCACCCAAGCTGTTCCTACCTCATTTTCTATATTATCTGTGACAAAATGCAAAGACCATTCTCTGAAACATTTCCAGTTGATTCATTTTATACATCATTTCCAACATTTTCAAACAAAGAGCACTTTTTTCATGTTCCAGAACACGGGAATCATAGTTCATAATTATGTTGATTCATTGTTTGTCTGGGGATTGGGGTGTTGTTTTTTTTCAGAAAAAAAAAGGCTTATGAATTACAGGTATTATCATCTTGATTTTATAAATTGAAATATAATTAATATGTTATAGATTTTTTTTTTTAATTAAAGTATATTTGATGAAGACCATACCATAGGAAGATCATTTTTCTTCTTTTCATAAGCCTTTAACTTCTACATGAAAGTGATGTCTCCATATTGAATTTTCGAAACTTAAGAATGTTTTTATAATTTCAATGATATGACAATTCTTGGGGTAAAAAATAATTCACCAACATGCAACTTTAGAAAAATTCTATGGAAACTGACAAGATTTGCTGAACATTTTAAGCTCTTTGTTGAGCTTTCATTTTTATAAACCATAATGTGTAACATCTTATCATTATTATCGTCATTCAGTTATTAAGCAATAATTTGTCTCATCCTTTTTTTTTAAAATATAATTTAAATACTGTTAAGTTTTGCTTATATAATCACACATTTATTCATCTTTTTTTTAAAGTTGTTTTAAATAATTGAGCATTATTCAGAGGTAACTTTACTTATTAAAAGTTTCAGTTTTACATTCAAACATGAAAATATCTACTTAAAACAATTTAATGATAGTGACTATTCTCATCCAGTTAATTAATGAAGTAATTGATTACTTTAACCATGTACATTTTTATTTATTTTTATTTTTTTCTTAAGAAAGAAAAAATACAAACCTGCTCTGAATTTATTTAAACCAATTTTTGGGGAGATAATTAATCTCCCATTATTGCCAAACTGTTTTATAGAATGCTGACCAGGTTCATTAAGTCTTTATATTGTAGGAGTGATTTTCATATTTTTGTCATGGAATTCGTCCTCTATTTCATAGACAGTTACACATATTACATTTTACTGCATATGTTTTCATTTTGTTCCATTTATCAAAGACTTTATTTAAATATGTACAGACTGTTTATTTATGACTTGTAAATACCAGAAAACAAGCAAAAATGTGTGCTATTATTGTATTAAGTTCATTTGTTATTTTGGTATATTTATTTATGATTTTTTTCTTATCATTTATTTAAGATATCTATGTCATAAATGTATACATTGATTGAATCTGTTTTGGGGTAAAAGATCTGTCAAGTCATTAAACCTAGTGATTGTTATAAAAGTGGGCTAGTGGTGTAACTTAAGACTTTAAAAAACAATGACAAATCTTGAATAAATGCATCAAATGCCTAAATCAGAGTTTATTATAGCTTAAGAAAACTCTGTGGTTTACTGAGAGAAAAAAAGTTTCAAAAAGAAAAGTCTAAATTGTTTTAACAATTTTGTTACAATTTTATGAAAATATTTTGGTGATTTTTATTTATTTTTTTTGGCCAGTATTATATCAACATTAAAGGATCACAATCTATATCATGATAAAAAAAAGATCTTTAAGAAGTTACATAAATTTAGAAACAAGTATTAAGGAGACAATGTAATATCTACAGCTTCACCAGACTTAATCTGATGTTATAAATATTTGAGCTGTGCCATGACAAAATCAACATAGTGCGTTTGCGACCAGCATGGATCCAGACCAGCCTGCGCATCCGCGCAGTCTGATCAGGATCCATGCTGTTCGCTTACAAACCCTATTACAAGTACAGAAACTGATAGCGAACAGCATGGATCCTGATCAGACTGTGCACTATGTTGGTTTTGTTGTGACCCGGCTCATTTGTTAAAACCATTGATAATACATGTACATGTATGCTACGTTAGGACACCAATTCTGTTCCACTTTTTATATTGAGTAAGTCATATACAGTGGAAAATATATAGTTGTCATTGACTTCTTTTCATTTTGTAAAGATACTGTTTTTTCAGTGAAACATTTTAGAAACACCCCATACATACCACGTATTTATGATATTTTGTCATTTATCAATGAATTACCTCATTTTTTTTTTTGCTTTATTTGCCCTCCTTTCCCTCATGAGAAATATTTGAAAAAATCATGTAATCATTTTTTCATCTTTGTTGTATAAGTGTCATGTGACATGATTTTCCCCCTTTGCTTCATTTGATTTTTTCACATTGTAGCTGACTCATTGCCCCCATCTTCTTTCACATTTTCACATGTTTGTCACATTCGTTTGAACCATTTCATCACATTTTTCCCATTTCATGAAATTCTTCCCAATTTTATCAGTCATCCCCAAAACTCCATCACATTTTCCCCCATTTCATATGCCCGCCCCTACCCAATTTCATCACATTTTTCCCATTGCTTTATAGTAAAATTATAGTAGTTAAACCCGTCTCATTGTGAACTTTTATGTAAGATTTTGTTAATTATAAGTTGTGTTCTCTTTTACGAGACTCTAAAATAAACAAAGCTATTCTTATGAAGATTTTGTATAAATTATTCAATTGGATTATTGAACAATAGTAAAAAAATCTATGGATTTGTATGAAATTGTTTGTTTTTATTTTAATACTCCCAAATGGTGAACATGTAGTTTCAACCTTGGCTGATTGTGTTTGTAAAAAAACATGTAGATTCTTTGGTAACAATAACATCATGTCACATGCAGAGTATGGTAACAATAACATCATGTCACATGCAAGTGATGTTAACAAAAGCATCATGTCACATGCAGAGTATGTTAACAATAACATCATGTCATATGCAGAGTATGGTAACAACAACATCATGTCACATGCAAGTGATGTTAACAATAACATCATGTCATATGCAGAGTTTGGTAACAATAACATCATGTCATATGTAGGTTATGACATAAATAACATGTCACATGCAGAGTATGTTAACAATAACATCATGTCACATGCAGGTTATGGTAACAATAACATCATGCCACATGCAGAGTATGTTAACAATAACATCATGCCACATGCAGAGTATGTTAACAGTAACATCATGTCACATCCCAGTTATGGTAACAATAATGTCATGTCTCCTGCAAGTTATGGTAACAATAACATCATGCCACATGCAGAGTATGGTAACAATAACATCATGTCACATGCAGAGTATGGTAACAATAACATCATGTCACATGCAGAGTATGTTAACACCTACATCATGCCACATGCTGAGTATGTTAACAATAACATCATACCACTTGCAGAGTATGTTAACAATAACATCATGTCACATGCAGAGTATGTTAACAATAACATCATGCCATATGCAGAGTATGGTAACAATAACATCATGTCACATACCAGTTATGGTAACAATAATGTCATGTCTCCTGCAAGTTATGGTAACAATAACATCATGACACATGCAGAGTATGGTAACAATAACATCATGTCACATGCAGAGTATGGTAACAATTACATCATGTCACATGCAGAGTATGTTTACACCTACATCATGCCACATGCAGAGTATGTTAACAATAACATCATGTCACATGCAGAGTATGTTAACAATAACATCATGCCACATGCAGAGTATGTTAACAATAACATCATGTCACATGCAAGTTATGGTAACAATAACATCATGTCACATGCAAGTTATGGTAACAATATCATCATGTCACATGCAGAGTAAGGTATCAATAACATCATGTCATATGCAGTTTATGATAACAATAACGTGACACATTCAAAGTATGGTAACAATAACATCATGTTCACATGCTGTTTATATCACCCGACTGTGCATAAGCTTTCATTATGGAACGCCATAGCTGCCTTATATTTACTCTTATCAAGTCGTGATGTCTTTTGGATAAATGATGATGTCGTTTCTATAGATGGTGCTATGGTTATGATAGATGGTGATGTTATTTTCATATATGGTGATGTCGTTCAGATAGATGGTGATGTAATTTAGATATATGGTGCAGTCATGTTAAAAGACGGTGCTGTGAATTTGATAAATGGTTATCTCGTTTTGTAAGATGGTGCTGTGGTTTTTATAGAAGGTGCTGTTATTTTGATAAATGGTTATGTCGTTTTGTTAGATAGTGCTGTCGATTTGGTAAATGGTTAGGTCGATCTTTTAGTTGATGCTATGGTTGTTATAGATGGTGCTGTAATTTTGATAAATGGTTATGTCGTTTTGTTAGATGGTGCTGTGGTTGTTATAGATGGTGCTGTTATTTTGATAAATGGTTATGTCGTTTTGTTAGATGGTGCTGTGGTTGTTATAGATAGTGCTGTAATTTTGATAAATGGTTATGTCGATTTGTTAGATGGTGCTGTAATTTTGATAAATGGTTATGTCGATTTGTTAGATGGTGCTGTCGATTTGATAAATGGTTAGGTCGTTCTTTTAGTTGATGCTATGGTTGTTATAGATGGTGCTGTAATTTTGATAAATGGTTATGTCGTTTTGTTAGATGGTGCTGTGGATTTGATAAATGGTTAGGTCGTTCTTTTAGTTGATGCTATGGTTGTTATAGATGGTGCAGTAATTTTGATAAATGGTTATGTCGTTTTGTAAGATGGTCCTGTGGTATTTATAATGGTACTGTAATTTTGATAAATGATTATGTCGATTTGTTAGATGGTGCTGTAATTTTGATAAATGGTTATGTCGTTTCAATAGACCGTGCTATGGATTTGATAAATGGTGAGGTGGTTTTAATCAATAGTTCTGTGTTTTTGATAAATGGTAATGTCGTTTTGAAATGTTGTTATGCCGTTTGGTATATGGTTATACTGTTTTGGTATATGGTGTTGTCATTTTATACATGGTGCTGTGATGTTTGTACATGGTGATGTCTTTCTGAACTGTGGAGATGGTCATTTACTTATTTCTGAGAAAAATATGGCGAAACCTCCTTTAACCCTTTACCTCATATAGACGTGTTTTGACGGCTTGTAGACCCCCTCACCTTTTTGAGGCATTAAACAGTGAAAAATGCCCTATTTAGACCCTAGACACTGTTTTTCGTTTGAGAAATGTTGTTAAAAAAGTGACCATTTTTTCGGCGCCGCCCCCATCAAAATGGTACATCAAGGGGATGTTTTTTTTGTCTTCTGTTGTTTTTTTTTTAGGGGGGGGGTTGAAGTAGGCAACAGTCGCCCTCATCGCCAAGAAAATTTTGGACATGTGACAGGCTAAATAGCCTCAGGTCGATCGTAAGGTAACGTGTAACCAACGCTGAAAAGCCTTCTGCTCCATCTCAATCCATTGAGAAGTTGCAGCACTTTGAACTCAGTTTGTTTTGATGGAAAGAAAAAACAATGCAAAATAGAGATTTTTGGCAATTTTGAGACGTTCCCCTGTTGCCAATGTTACAGGAAATTTAAGACACAGGCTATTGTCCAGTCAACACTTGTGCCAATTTTCATCAGTATCAAAGCATTTTTCATAGTTCCATAGCAGTTGAACTTGTAACAGGAGGCTTTTCAATGAAAACGGCCATTTTTCACAATATGCTCATGAAGGACAGAGTTAAATGTTTTTCTCTGAGATTGATAAATTAAAATTGAAATGTTTAACTGATGAAAACAATGGAAGCAATTTTGAAAAAACCTTTAACCTAATATGAAAAGATCATGCCTAATTTTGTCTGCAAGTTATCTATGCAGGAAATGAAATACTTTAGAATAAATAACAGTCAAGATATGATGAAACTCAGATTAGAGTGTATAAAAGTTGGCGAAAAACACAGGTCTCCATAATTTAAAATAACCGATCAAAATGTTCCAGTAAACAAACAGGTCATCTATAAATAGATCATCATCATCGTAATAAAAAATAACAGAACCATACATCAAAATAGTATCACCATGTACAAAAAGAACCACATAGCAAAATAGTATAACCATTTATAAATAGAACATCATCGTACATCAGAATAGTATAACCATTTATAAAAATAACATCACCATACATTAAAATAGTATTGTCATTTATAAAAAGAACATCACCATATATCAAAATAGTATCACCATTTATAAAAAGAACATCACCATACATCAAAATAGTATAACCATTTATAAAAACAACATCACCATATAGCAAAATTACAGCACCATTTATAAAAATAACAGCACCATATATAAAATGACACTACCAGGTACCAAAGTGACACCACCATATATCAAAACGACATCACGATTTATCATTACCACAGCACTATTTATCAAAACAAAAGCACCATCTATGAAAATTACAGCACCAGTTATCAAAGCAACAACACCGTATATAAAATGACCACACCAGGTACCAAAGTGACTCTACCATATATCAAAACGACATCACCATTTATCATTACTGCAGCACCATGTATCAAAACAACAGCGCCATATACATAATAACATCACCATTTATCAAAACCACAGCACCATTTACTTTAACTACAGCACCATCTGTCAAAACGACATCACCATTTATCAAAACCACAGCACCATTTATTAAATCCACAACACCATTAATTTTAACTACAGCACCATCTGTAAAAACGACATAACCATTTTTCAAAACCACAACACCACTTATTAAATCCACAACACCATTTATTCAAACTACAGCACCATCTGTCAAAACGACATCACCATTTATCAAAACCACAGCACCATTTATTAAATCCACAACACCATTAATTTTAACTACAGCACCATCTGTAAAAACGACATAACAATTTATCAAAACCACAACACCACTTATTAAATCCACAACACCATTTATTCAAACTACAGCACCATCTGTCAAAACGACAAAACCATTTATCAAAACCACAGCACCACTTATTAAATCCACAACACCATTTATTCAAACTACAGCACCATCTGTCAAAACGACATAACCATTTATAAAAACCACATCACTATTTATTCTAACTACAGCACCATCTTTCAAAACGACATAATCATTTATCAAAACCACAACACTATTTATTAAATCCACAGCACCATCTGTCAAAACGACATAACCATTTATCAAAACCACAACACAATTTATTAAATCCACAGCACCATTTATTTTAACTACAGCACCATCTTTCAAAACGACATAACCATTTTTAAAAACTACAGGACCATTTATTTAAACTACAGGACCATCTATCACAACGACATCACCATTTATTAAAACCACATAACCATTTATCAGAACCACAGCAATATCTGTCAAAGTGACATGACCACTTTAGAAGTGTTTATATAAGGCAGCTATGGCGTTCCATATTTCATTCAGTAACTTTAATACTGGTTAACCCATATCTTTTATGATCTATTTGTATAAAGATCAAAGGTCAAGGTGACAATGATAATTGACTGGAACATAGTATATGTTGTTTATTCAAATGTTTAAAGTTAGCAAAACCATTCGAGTCATGGGCGCGGCCATTCGCGGCGACCAAATGTTACCTGTAAACAATTGCGACGCGATCACTCAACATGCATCAAAACTATTTGAGATAGATTGGAACTAGATTTATAGCGGTCACAAGCTGACTGTCTTTTTTGAAAACGTGTTGATCCACTTCGTCCAACCAGTTTGTGGTGGCCATTATATTTCTGGAAGAACAATATAATATTAAAAAGGGATTTTGTCGGTATCGGTTGTCGAGTTCGAATTCGAGTGATCCGAATTCGAGGAAACGAAATACACTTCTTTTATTTTTGTTGATTACGTAACGGAAACGCTAGCCTAGTGAAGCTTTTTCTTCTGACGATTGTCAATGTGTTTGGAGATTCATTATACCGGGACTAAGAAAACTGATAGAGCGGTAAATATCGACTTATTTCGGGTGATATCGTATAAACAATTCGCTCTCGCTCTTTTTCTCGCATATGTGTTTTCCATCTTGTTAATGAAAGTTAAGTTATGGAAAGTGTGCGCCCGTTAGATCCCGCATTTCCTAACTTCTGACCAGAAAAAAGGCGGGTTGAAAAAAACTTCGAACCTCGACGCCTGAAAGAAATTGTCACAGGGAAAGGTCTAAAAGTCTCAAACATAAACTTTAAATTTATTACATAAATCAGCTGGAGCACTTAAACAAAAAGATACGCAAAGGTATTTAAGAAATATATTTAGAAATAAATAGAAAATCATATTTTTGTGCTTCGCCCAATGTGGATAAGACATGTCAATTTTGGCTCTTTTTAAGAATTATAAGTATTCTGGAAAAATGGAGTGAGCGAATTATGTAAAATTTTGTTTAAATATTTCTATTATACTCAAGCGCAAAAATCTGTAATATTTATCACATAAGCACAAACTATTTCGAAAGAAAATAACTTATCTTCAAAAAATGTATCATTATAAAGCTTATATAATAATTTTACTGTTGTAATAAATATAGTGCTGAAAGTATGTATTTAAAGTACATGTACGGTGTATATTTAATTTACGGTATCACTGGATACTGGCAATAATGTTGCGGAAAATAAAATGCAAAAAGCGATTAAATCTATTGGAATCTTGCAGTGATGTTTATCTACATGAATTTAAATAATTTATGGATTTATATGATACAATAGCTTTACAAAGGTTTGGTCACTTTCATATGTCACCTGTTTAATTAAAATTGGCTTTCATCAGAGGGAAATTATTTATTGTACGAGTAGTATTTACTCTATGTCAAAATTTTT